CTGGCCCCCAACTCCCTACCTGCCATTACCGTTAGGGGCCTCCAGAAAAACAGATGGTCCAAAGCCCCGCCTGCCCCCCTCTTTGGGCACAATCCTTTGCAAATAAGCAAAGGGTTCCAGGGGAAACAACCCGAGTGTGTCTCCGAGGGGCCCTGGAAATGCCACAGTGTCGGCTGACTCTCAGCGAGCGGGCAACCGGGCAGTGGGGGAGGTGGATGGTGGATGGAGGGGACGCAGCACAGATGATGGAGGGCTGTACTGAATGGTGCCCAAACAGGGGTGGCTCTATCATCTCTCTATCTATCCTCTATCACCTATCTATCTGTTATCTACTATCTATCATCTATCTAGCTTCTATTTATCCATCTGTCATATATCTATCATCTACCTATCATCCTATCTAATAACAGACAAACATGGTAATTGACCGTACCTTCGCTACGCCTCCCATTGGCTAATCGGCGAGATATGCAAATTAACCGCCAACAAAGATGGCGGTTACTATGCATACGTAGGCGCAAAGTGGCGGATCGAAGGCTTGAAGGCAGCTCCGGCTGGAGCGAAGGCCTGGGTCCCGGGTGCCGGAGGAAAACCGGTGCCGGCAGCCAGGGGAAGGGAAGGCCTATTGCACGAATCTTTTCGTGCAACAGGCCTCTAGTCTATCTATATTCTACCATCTATCTATATTCTATGTATCATCTATCTAATTACCATCTATTTTATATATCTCCTGTCACCTATATATCTGTTATCTATCTATCTATCTATCTATCTATCTATCTATCCATCTATCGTCTAGCTATTATCCATCATCTATCTACCTATCATCTACTTATCTTTCTATCTGTCTGTCTATCTATCTATCTTTCTATCTCCTATTGGTTCTCTTTCTCTGGGAAACCTTATACACCATCAATGTTCTTAATGAAACAGTCATTCCTAAAGCACCGAACACCTCCTGTGAGTCCGGCACTCTGTTGGGGGCCAGGGGAAAAGGTTTTAATAAGACAAAATATGCAGCACCGATTCCCTTAGCACTACCAGAAGGAACAAGGTGTTCCTGGCATGGACTGAACTGTGAGCATAAACTTCACTGTAAGCGGGGGCCCTCCACGCTGGCCAGGGGAGCGACCCGAGAGAGTCAGCGCCTCTGCCCCCGGCCCCCCCGGAGCGTGTGATTTATGGGGCTGGGACCCCGCCAGGGCCGCGGGGTTTTGCACACGAGGGGGATTTGCTAATTCTTCATCAACATGACTTAATTGTGGATAAAAAAGCCTTTCGGGTGAGTCATCATTCATAACGCGCTCCTTTACGACATTAATGGGATGCAGCTGAGGGCCCAGGAGACGGAAAACGGGCCCTTTTCAGAAACAGTGAAAAGGGGGAGTTTCGAGAGAAGAGCAAACCCACGCGGCGAGGGCAGCTGCCTGAGCGCACACCCAGCCCCACGCGTTCCGAACCGACGTGCGGACACGGACCAAAGAAAGACGGCCTCCGAGGAAGACCTGAAAACCACTGTTTCCAGCCAAACAGCTCCAGGAGGGCGGCTTCTGATACGCAGGTGAGCTCGGCAGCCACCCCCAGGGCCTCCCGGGACGCCGTGGCCGGCAGGCAGCTCCCACAGCAGCCAGCAGCCGCCTGAGCTTGGCCGCCTCCTCCCGCCTACGGGCTTCCCTGGAATGACCTCCACTGAGGAGCGCGAGAGGCCCGCCGGCCAGAGCGTCTGTCCTCCCACTGTCCCTGGGAGCCTTTAAAAAAATCTTTTATTTCTATTGATTTTTTTGTGGTTGTAATACCCCAAGGATATTTTCTGCACTGATTTTTAGAGAGAGTGGAAGAGGGAGAGACAGAGAGAGACATCGATGTGAGAGAGACACACGGATTGGATGCCTCCTGCATGCACCCTGCTGGGGCGGGGGATGGAGCCTGAAATCAAGGTATGCGCCCTTGACCAGAATAGAACCTGCGACCTTTCAGTCTGCAGGCCAACACTTTATCCACGGAGCCACGCCGGCTGGGGGTTATTGATTTGAGAGAGAGAGGAAGCAGAGGGAGAGAGAGAAACATCAATGAGGAGAGAGAACCATGGATCGGCTGCCTGCTGCACGCCCCCTACTGGGGATGGAGCCCGCAACCCCGGCATGTGCCCTGACGGGAATGGAACCCTGACCTCCTGGTTCCTAGGTTGATGCTCAGCCACCGGGCCACGCCGGCCGGGCTCTGGAAGCCTTTGGATGGGGGTGCGGGCCAGGAACAGCGGGTCTGTTCCCCAGAAAGAGCTGGGCGGAGGAGGCCCCCTGACACGTGTCCCGCCCCAGACCTCCTGTATTTCAGTTCTTGCGCTTCCTTGTGAGACAAACCCTGGTCAGGGCTGTGAGACCCGCAGGTCTGCTGCGAGCGATGGAGGTGCGGCAGGAATATTATAAGAACAGAACAGTATCGTTATTATATTTTTAGAGAATATAACAATAATCCCACAAAAGAAGATAGGTTGCGTCTATGATGTTAA